TATCAGGAAGAAAGGATACAAAACTTTGCTTTGAACTACTACCCGTTCCAAAATACAAGAGCATCAGTTGCTTTTTGAATAACTTAGGTAAAAACAGCCTGAAAACCCTAGTTTTTGGAAAATTGGCTTTTTGGTAGATTTTCAAAACTTTTTCTAAAAACAAATACTTCCACGAGACTCGACATGGTCGGTTATGCATAGTGTATCCGTCTTTAAGGCTACCAAGAGTCACCGGGTGCCAGTCCTAGGACTCGGAAATCCGATACAACGCCTGAACCGCAGAAAATCAAGGTCACACATTACTCGCATTTTGAATATAACACACCGGACTATCAGGGGACATGAAAAAAGTGAATAGATTCCTATTTGAATTTCGGAAAGTACTAGCTAGTTTCCCAAAGATCTTCTGATAAACCGGCTTCGAAAACTTTATCGAAAATCAGTTTTGCTTATGAAAAGGGCATTATTATCAATGAAAAATAAAACTAAATTAACACCCCTAGACTACTTACGACTTTACAGAACTCTAAAAAGCGTTAATTTCTTCAAATCGAACAGATTTTATGAATAACTCATAATCAGCATTTTATGTTTAACTTAACCTTGTAAATCATTTAAAATATGATCGATTTCCCATAGCGTTAAAATATTTAAAATCCGCTGTGCGCTTTCGCATCACGAAAATCTACTAGCTTGTTTAACACGATGCTCAGTAAATCTGCAAAGGCTCCGAAGGATAGTCGAAAATGAGATACAGTTTTCGAGAGAGTTTCATTTCAAAATACATGGCCTAAACGGGCTGTTTGAGATTAAATCACCTTTTACTAAACTTTGAATTAATGGATGACGCCATGGACAATGAGTATTGTTTTCAAAACTGATGAATATAGACATGAGTAATGAATTCGAAAACAGCGTGGACGCAGATGTCTGTTTACATCAACATACTAGTTAACACGTTCATTATTTCGGTAACTTAATATACCGAGTTCCACGATGAATATCTGCAATATCAGTCGAATCTAGTTCATGAACGATTAATACCAATTCATCTAAATTAACGCTTATCTGCTCTCTAATACCTTTAAGCAAGTACTTTTCGTTTTCAGTTCTAATGCTCGTAGTATCTAATTCAGCGCATCATAGTTCTTTAATATTCAGTCCGGATTCGCCGACACGTTAACTCTTTCATTGGCGCCGACGCCTTTTGACGCCAGGCAGTGGTATCGGTGGCCCAGATAAAGTGGGACACTTTTGTTCGTTATTTTTGAGGCACTACTCAATAGTTCAAAGAGTTTTTTCTTAGCTCAATCGATACAGAATTCCTAACTTCTGAACCTATTTCCAACAGACTTTAGTTTTTTGGCTATAAATGCAGTAATACGTTTTGAAGCCGGAATTTTAGTCTTATTACCGTATACAAAACCTGCGCACGAACAGTTTGCGCATGAAATAACAAATTCTTATTTATTCAAAAGATATTGAATGCACAAAGACACAGACAACAGAAGGGTCTAATGAAAATATTATTCATTTTATTGCATGAAATAAGATTATACTCTTAAGTAAAAAGATTACATAACGAATTCCATCAAAACAATATTCTACGGGTCACGAATCCACAAATGTATCTAAGAGTACTGCTTAAAGATGATTCAAGCAAATCATCATCAAACATACTATTGAACAAATAACCGCGTAGCAGCTAACATTATAAAAAAAGCTTGCCAGTGTTGCTTCTACGAAGCAAAAATGTGAAAACTTCCTGTTGAACTATAACATAGACGATGTATAAATAGAAGAAGTTAAATAAGAATAGTAGCACACGACAGAAACTTCTAATTAATAGCTTTTTTTTCTGTTCATATGGAGAGATACGGTAATAATTTTTAAAACTTGCGTCTGACAACATCAGATCAATAATGCACTAACTATTACTAGTCGATTCAGTAGCTGTAAACACCAATTTATATTAAATTTGATCAATCACAATTCCACCCTGAAAGTGTACAGCTATTGAAATGTGTGTTTACAGCTACTGACAAAAAAACCATGGAAACCACAAAAATCCTCGTATATTTTAACTAAGGAATTATGTATCTCATGAATTAAATCCTTGATTAAATCCCACATCGGAAATTTTTTATAACAACAAATAATACCAGGGATGATTCTGATTCGGAACGTGAACCTGAATTAGATGATGATAATGATAACAATCACAGTGACGAAGATAGTGAAAGTCAATTCGATGATAATGAAAGTATCACTACAGCAAAAACAAACTTTTCTGGTATATATGTTAACAAAAATTAATAACACTGATAAATATTCATATAAACAGTCAGCAATCTGGCTATCAACTGACAAAAATTATCGTATATTAACAGATAGATTATCACGAGTAATTGATACAAGCCAGAAAGAATAAAAACAATTCAGCTTGTTTTTCTCTTTTCTGTTTTTCTGTGAAAATAAAGTGTAGTATACATTCTCAGCTCTTATTTTTAGGGTGCAAATAAGAATTAGCGCAATCCAAATATTAGAGAATGTAAAATTTAACAGTTACACGTCTCCTAAGGGCTTGGATTCCTGTGAACTCCGTTTTTTCCCCCTTGCACATATTACGTTTTTCGACTTTTTATAAGTAAAAACTGGTGAAAAAGCTTTCTCCATGTTTAAAAAGACTGAATGGAACGCGTTTGCAGGGATTCCAGTCAGTGGTAATTGTTCCAATGCCGCGGCTACATACTAGGGAAAACAAAGTTCATCACTTATGTTTAGGCTGAAAAGATAAAGAAGGCTACTTATGTTCCACTTTTCTTTTTTTCTATAAGTTTTTAAAAAAGTCCTGCTAACGTTATACAAAATAAATATGTAACTATCAAAGATCAGCACTGGCCGGGTAAATAAATTTTATAGAGTGGTCGAGCCAGGCCGGGCTTGAGCCGAAAAGTATGCGTGGATTTGTAATTTATGTGTACACTTAGTACCGAGAAAGAGTATTATCACTGTTATGTGACATTTTTTAAGAGAACCTCCGCCACAGCACCGAACATACTGTCCGCTGACAAATTCTATTTTTTAATTATTCACATGTCATTCGAAGAGCATTCAAAATGACTACTAACCCTGTAATAACTCTTTCTGGAAGTGTTTTGTTGAGAGACGAGAGACAAAACATTCTATTGTGGTCGCCGATTAATCGAAAAAACGTGAATTTTTGAATTTGGTTAATATGCCAAAACTAAGATCAAAACCAGTGGGAGATAGACCTCAAATACAGTGCTTGTGGTAAAACGTGTGTAAAATCATAAAAAGACATTGTAAAGAGCTCGCCAAAGTCTCATTTTGTAAGAAAATGTTTGCTCTACATCTGTAATAGCTCAAATCATGTATGTCCAGATCTTTGACCTACGGTACCTAGGTTAGTTTTCTCGCGAAGGCTCTCTTAATGACTTTGCTCAGCTAATAATGAAAACAACTACGCCTGGTACCCGAAAATTTTAAAAAGTGCTTGGATCGGGTTGGGCCAGAAAAGTTTCAGGATGGGTCGGGCCGGGTCACATAAATTCTACGTTTGTTCGGGCCGAGCCGACCTTGGTCCGGAAACTTTCATCATCGGGCCGGGTCAAAAATTTTCGGCCGTGCGGATCTATGATGTCAAAAAGTTGCGCCTGGTTTAATAATGATTTAAGACTGCTACTTCGCAAACAGGATCTTTTATATAAAAAATATCATAGTCTCTTGTATCCGTCAATTGATGCACTCGCAGCGTATGAAAAGACTGCCACTGCGTTTGAGAAAGCATGTAGCTGTGTAAAAAACAATATTTTGTAAAGCAGTGGACACATTTGAACAGTTCCTCTAAAAAGTGGTCAGGTTTTTCAGGCACATTGCTTAGAAAACAGAGCCGGGTTTCTTTACCTTCGTATATAGGTCAATAGGTCAATCATCGATTCTACGGGAAAAGCGGAACTTTTGAATAATCATTTTTTCCAAGTATGCACACCGTCAAGTATTAACCATACCACTGGATCGAAAACTTTGAAAAGCTTGTACGGTTAAAACCGATTGCAGATTCGTCTTCTCCATGGTTGATTATGTGGTACGCGATAACTTCTGGATCAGGGTACTTTAGAAAGAAATATTCTCATGGTCTTGCTTAAAAATTTTTCAGAAAGTTACCGTAGGACCAAAGGCAAAATGATGTCGAAAAATTTTTCGAAAGCACCCCGATCCAGAAGTTATCGCGTACCACATAATCAACCATGAAGAAGACGAATCTGCAATCGGTTTCGACCAAAGAAGCTTTTAAAATTTTCCGATCCGCTGATATGAAAGCGTTTCCTATAACATCACGTAAGCGGCGCATCCGGAATTATTCCAGGCATGTGGAAGTAAGGGCATGTTCTTAAATCCGAGGATGCACAAATACCATCTAATTAGAGGCCCATTACGCTGTTAGATAGTGTATCAAAGATTATATCTCATGAATAAAACGCATTTGAATGACCTTAGTTAAGATTAAATTAAGGGTAAATTGCTTATATTAACCTTAAATTTTTAATGCCAAATGTTTCGGCTTGGTAAAGCCTTTATCAATGGCAAAATAATAAGAAAGATATTTAACAATAATCCAAATTAGTAAATATCCATCAGAAATGTAAAAAGAAGTAGATCTAGAGCAACGAAATTAAAATTACATATGAAGTCTAAGCTACCTTTCTTATTATTTTGCCATTCATAAAGAAAGGCTTTACTTTATCAAGCCGAAACGTGTGGCTATTATTAAAAATTTACGATTAATATAAGCAGTTTACCCTTAATTCTTGTACACAATCCGTAAAAGCAGCAACTATGACTAATAGTTAAGATTAATTTTATTTAAAAAAAATCGTGTTAATTCGTTCTTGATTATATTGGTGTAAAAAAGGCAACAAATCAAACAAATATTTTGATACTGATCCAAATCCTGTGTTTGAACAATTTCTATTTCTTTAATCTGTTGTTGTCGCTTCTTTTTCTTCTTTTTCGCCTAATTTCTCTAGAAAGCTTTGTGTTGCCATTATAATTTTCTTATCTGTTAATTTTAAATGAAATTTTAAGCATTTTTCTATGAAATTTTGATATTGTTTTATTTGTTCAATGCCGACTTCACTGGTATTGACTGTAATCATTTGCAATAAAATTTCTAATAGCAGTTGAAGTGTTTTTGCTGGGACAGCTTGATCATGGCCACCGTTCGAAGCACACTGAATTAATAACATTAAACCATTTCGTTTAATTACTTCTTGTTTTACTTTATCACAGCGTAGTAATTCTACAAAAATCACAAGAAAAAACAAAGAACAGAGAGAAACAAATTTTCAACTGCATGAAAAAACTAATAGAATTCAAATCGTCTGAACCGATCCAAACTGAAAATTAATTATTAGGCATCACTTTCATGAGATTTCTTGAAGTCAAAAAATTAGCAGAATCAATCGGCTCGGGAACAATGGGAGATAAGTCAATCGGATTCTCATAAAGCACGCTATTTTGCATACGATTGAAGAATTTAAGTCACACGGAATCATTCCCATACTTAAGACTTTGAACTCTCAAAATATTATTCTTAAAACGTTTTCTGGACATCATTCTACTCACGAAGGTAACGTATCGTTTCATTTACTTTTAGAAGTAAACACTTAGACTATAAAGTTTTATGTTTACGCACGCATTACCTTTAAAATCTTTCAATAACATATCCATTGTTGTACCTCCAAACACCTCTTGAACTGGATCATCAACTGTCTTTTGAATGAAATCTAGAAATACGGATGTTATTTTACTAATATATTCATCCTGTTGTTCATCATTGATAATGTGAGCCAATATTTTACATGAATAAAGTACAATTTGACCATGGTTTGAACTTAATAAATGAAAAAATATTACTGACAAATTTTTTTCTTCACGTTTAATTTGATATTGCAAATGATGATTTGTAATTAAATTGTAGAATAAGACTAACGTTGAATGAATTAGTTCGGTTGATATTTGAGTATTTTTCAAAATAAATAGTAGATGATAGAATAATTTTTGTCGACGTTTGTTTGAATATAAGTTTTTTATTCGTTTTATTAGAATACTAGTCATATAATGCATTGCCGATAGAATAGAACTGTTCCATTTGCTGATTGATGGTAACATTTGCTCATAGATTTCATTATAACGATAGTCTATTTCAGCAGTCGATGTTGATAGAACTTGGTTTTGTTTTTCGATCGAATGAAAATATTTTGGACAAGTAATTAATAAAAATTCTTCAACTGGTTTCATTTGTTCTTTAAAATTTAAAAATGCATCCACATAACATGTTGAATACAGACAATAAACAATTGATTTAAAGAGAAAATCAGCTGAATTTGGAAATTTAAATAGTAATATTTCAACTAAATGACAAAACGGGGCCATATTAACATCATTCAAGTACTTTTGATATCTTTTAGCAACGTCTTGAATGCATAATTGAATTGTTTTAATAAAGGTTTTATCTAATGCAACGAATTCGGAGCTAACATTGACGATGGACGAAAATAAGTTAATTATATCACGTAAAATCGATACGTCTTGATCATTTGTTAATAAACCACTTTCTAGCCAATGTCGTAGTAAATCAGATAAAATGTTTTGTATAAAAACGATATCGGACGTGCTTTGAACAGGGTTTTTAATTTGATCAATGAACGGAAAATTGTGTGTTTGAATGAAAGTATTTATGATTTGTGGAATCGGACTGTGAGTAAGATCATGCCAAGCAACCGGCGGCGCTTCAGAAAATGATGGTCTCTCTGTCGGTTTCTCCGCTAAAAAAGCACAGGACTTATCGATGTGAAGTAGAATCAAAGTAAATGAGTAGGTATCTTAATAAAACTTCGTGTAGCTGAGACGATGACTTCTTGAATAGGTATGGGACAAATCGAACGGGCGCTCGGTGTATGAGCACACACGCTGATCGAGCGAAACACACGAATTGCGCTCGTAGGTCGAGCGCTCGCATATCATTCCTAATTTAAATAAGTTCTTTACAAGACAGGTAAGTGATCTCACAAAAAATGTTTGAACAATTGTTTACTTGTTGTGCAAATAGCTGCTCACTTATTATGTATTTAAAAAAATATATCACGGTGCACGAGCGCACGAGTAAAATGCATTCAAGCGACGAGCGCGCTCGTTAAAATGCACTCGGGTGCGAGCGCGCTCATGTTTTCTCTGATTGCGTTCGATTCTTCTCATACCTACTCTTCAATATTTTCAGTAAGATCTTGGTAAGAAAATCTATAAGTTCAAGAAAGCAAAACGATACACTAGAAATTTTTTTTGCACAAGTTAGCTAACTAAAATAGTCTTAATTTAAAAGGCACCCTTCCTTCAATTTTTAACAAATATAGAATACCGGACTCAG